TCTCACATTTTCCCCATAAAAGGGGCGGCGACTGACAGTCCCTCCAGGGGCGGGGTGGCTGGGTCCCCCTGCTCCCTGGGGAGGCCCCAGCCTCACGATGCACACCAGGAGTGCGGGAGCAGGGCTGACAGTGCGACAGCGGGAGCTCCATGGGGCCGAAGGCGGCGGACAGTGCGACAATTGGAAGTGAGTGACCATGGGGCACGCTGTGGAGGTTTGGGGGTGAAGCGTTCCGCGAGACCACGTTGGATGCCGCTTGCGTGGTTCCGTGGCCAATACACGCCCAAGGTGGGAAGGCGCAAGGGCCTCCCCAAACTCCAATGGGAAGCCCCGTCCGTTGAGACGACCCGGCTCCTCCTACCCCTCCTCCCACTGCTCTTCCCATAACCACAACCAACATCACCACCTCCTCCATCGTCTTCACCATCTTCATCATACTCATAGCGCTCATCAAATTAATACTCAACACTTTACGTCGTCATCATCGTCACCGCCATCACCGTCACCATACTCATCATCATCATCATCATCATCATCATCATCATCATCATCATCATCATCATCATCAGCATCATCATCATCATCAGCATCATCATCATCATCATCAGCATCATCATCAGCATGATCATCATCATCATCAGCAGCAGCATCATCATCATCAGCAGCATCATCATCATCATCACCACCACCACCGCCCCACCACCACCACCACCACCATCATCATCATCATCATCACCACCATCACCGCCATCCTCATCATCGTCATCATCATCATCATCATCAGCATCATCATCTGCATCATCATCGTCATCATCATCATCAGCATCATCACCACCACCACCACACCACCACCACCACCACCAACACCACCACCACCACCATCATCATCATCATCACCATCATCATCATCGGCATCATCATCATCATCATCATCACCATCACCGCCATCATTATCAGCAGCATCATCATCATCACCATCATCATCATCGTCATCGTCATCATCATCGGCATCATCATCATCATCAGCAGCATCAGCATCAGCATCAACATCATCAGCAGCATCATCATCACCATCATCAGCATGATCATCATCATCATCGTCGTCATTATCACCATCACCATCACCATCACCATCATCATCATCAGTATCATCAACATCATCATCATCATCATCGTCATCATCATCATCATCATCATTGGTATCATCGTTATCATCAGCATCACCATCATCGCCATCACCATCACTGCCACCATCACTACTACCACCATCACCATCGTCACCATCATCGTTATCATCATCGTTATCAACATCGTCACCACCATCATCATCACCATCATCATCAACAACACCATTGCCATCACGATCATCAAGTTCATAATCATCAACATCAGCGACACCACCGTCTTTACCACCGTCATCGTCATCATGTCTATCCTTCCGAATGTTGTCACTGTCACCCTCTTTCCCTCATCTTGTCACCCCCTCTCCCGCTCACCCGCTCGCCCTCTCTCCCACCCTCTCCCTCTTATCCTTTCCGTCTCTGTGTGTGTGGCAGCGTGGCGAGCGCCGTTGGTCCAGTGATACCCCCCGCGCCGAGCGCGGGGGGGCCTCGCTCGGGCAACGCGCGCGGACGCAAGCGCGAGGGTCGGTACTGGCGGGACGCGCCGGGCGCAGGGCGCAGGGGCAGCAGGGGGAGAAGAGGGCGGCCCAGAGGGAAGCCGAAACTGCCAGGAACCGTGATTTGGCCTTCAGCGTCGAGGAAACATGCCTGAGGGCTTCGCGGGGCCCATCGCCACCTAGGACGGTGAGCTGGCACCGTGGGCTGGTGGGGCTGAGACGCTATGGCCCAGATGGGATGGGGACTGGTGAGACGATGCTGACGCGTGCCGCGGCGGCGGCCACGGTGACACGCTCTGTGGTATGCGAGCGGATAGTTGGCGTGTCGCTCCGTGGGGCTGGAAGCTGGAAAAAGTTCCCGACGCTGACTTCTTGGGAAAGGGGATTGAGCAGGGACCGACCGTCCCGGCATTTCGATAGACCGACCACGAAATGTTCTTAGAACCCAAGAATGTTCTAAGAACAAAAAACGTTTTTAGAACATGTGCCCGATGTGTAGAAACAAGACAGATCCAGCCAGAACTGTTCCAAGAACATTTCGTGGAAACCACAAAAGGTTCCTAGAACATTGTTTGGCAGGCCTATAGGCACGCCGGGACGCTTCGCCACTGCTTGAAAAGCGGGGTGCACCAAACCCGACGGCGCGATCCGCTAAGCCAGTCGCCCACCCTCGAGCGCCGCGCCCTAGGCGGTGCGCCACGCGCAGCTATATCTTTGCGCGCTCCCTCGCCGCCTTTCCCAGGAGAAGGCCGCCTCTCCAACACGTGCCAACCCGCTCGGGCGTCCACCCCGTAGGCATCAGCCGGTTTCTTGCGCGCGCGCGCTTCTTGCGCGGAATTTTCTCCCAGGTGCTCCTCGAGGGTCCTCGCCGAGGAAAAAAATGAAAGTGCACGCGTCCGAGCGATGCCACTGATGCCGCCCAGCGCTGGCCGCGGATGCGCAGAGCGCACGGCTGCCGTCGCGCCCCCGCGGGGCGACCTCCGGGAGAGACGGGCCCGGGTGCCCCAGGGCCCCTCGGGTCGGGCGGCAGGGGGCGCGGGAGGCGCACAGCACAGCCGGAACCCTCCTCCTCCTCCTCCTCCCCCTCCTCCTCCTCCTCCTCCTCCTCCTCCTCTGCCTCATCCTTCTCCTCCTCCTCCTCCTGCCTCCTCCTCCTCCTCCTCCTCCTGCTGCCTCCTCCTCCTCCTCCTCCTGGCCAGAAGAGCAGCCTCCACGAGCAGGAGGCCCTCCGCCGGCCAGGCCGGAGAGCCTCTCCAGGGTGCCCTCCCCCAGGGTGCATCAACGGGCATCCAGCAGGCACAGAGTCGGCGGCGAGCGAGGGGGAGAAGAGACAAAGGGGCGGGCCTCCTCAGACGTCTCGGAAGCCCCCCGGCCTTCTGGGAAGTTGTCTGAGCCTTCCCCGAAGACAGAAAACGCTTCTCAGAAGGGCATGCAGCAAGCACAGAGAGATCATCGGGGGCACCCTCCCCGAGTCGACCTCGGCCTCGTATTAAGTCGGGCCTGTCCCCCTACAGGGGGATTTTGGAGGAGGAAAAAAAAAACTACCACAAAATGGATCAAAAGGTAATCAAAGCACAGTCCCCAGACTATTTTGTGGACTGTTTTTGAAAATTCCACCGGCATAGGGACAGGCCCGACTTAAGCCTGGTACCCCAGTGCGACCGTCACGCACGTGGGGTTCGCCAAGCGGCTCACGCAGCTGGTCTTCCTGGCGCAGCCCGGCGCCGGAGGCGCCACCCTATCGCGGAAGGCGCTGTGCGGCGGGGCCCAGACCGGCTGCACGCAGCCGATCTCGTCCCGTCGGGGTCGATTGGACCGCACGCGCGAGAGGACACAGGTAGGAGGCCACATGCGAAGCCTACCCCTACCCCCCACGATTTCTGAGGGGGAGGGTGGCGTTCACTTCGTTCGGGAGCTCCCGAGCGAAGTGAACCCCACCCTCCCCCTCAGAAATCGTGGGGGGTAGGGGTAGGGTTCGCATGTAGCCCTCTAACAAGACCCTTCCGAGGGCCACACTGCCATGGGAATGCAGAAGGCACGGGTAGCGACACACAGGACACAAGGTTAGCCCTGCTTTGGCATGGTGGACCTGCTAATCAAGCTCGACCTTCTCGCGGGAGGCACCCGGCGGCGTGGCCCGAACCAGCGGCATGCGTCAGATTTCGTACCCCCCACCCCTTTCCGTATCCCACCCGCTCTCGTCCGACCCAAGGCTTCTATCAGGACCAACTTGACGTCCCGAGCCGTTGCCTGACGAAGTCCCGGGGACCGTGGAGGGCCTGGAGAGGCCAGAAGCGGCAGAGAACCTCAAAACCCGCTTCCATCAGGTGAGGGGGGGCGCAACGCAATCTTTCTTGATCGGTGGCGTCCACGACGTCCCCAAAACAGCTCCTAAAGCGTCCAAAGAAGCCACAAGAGGGCAGCACAATATCCCAGAAGGCCGCCAATGTTGCCTCAAGGGGGCCCCACAGGCCTTCAAAATTGTCCAACATGAGCCTCAATGACCCCAAGAGGCTTCCAAGAGCGTCCCAACGCGAAAGAGCCGAACCGGCCTTGATGGTGAACGCCTGTCGTCGTCGCCATCGCCGTCGCCGCTGCCGTCGCCGTTGAGGTCGTCGTCGTCGGCCTCGTCTTCGTCCTCCCCCTATCCTGTTCTTCCTCCCCCTCCTCCTACCGCTTCCTCGTCCTCCACTTCCTCTTCTCCCTGTCTCCCTCCCTCCCTCCTCTTCCTCCTCCGTTTCCTCCTTCCTCTTACGCTTTCCAATGTTAACGGCTGCCCCCTTTTGTTCCACCGCGTGCAACTACACTTCCCTGATCGAGAGAAACTGCCCAACGATCGTTTTGGGATGAGCTTGTGGAGATACGTGTGGCTCGCGGGCGCACGAAGCAAGTCGGACGCCGAGCAAGCAGGGGCAGGCTGTGCCGCCTGCGAAGGCAAAAACAAACTGGTGGAGATACGCGAAACCATGGCAATTGCGACGGGATGTCATCATCGTCACCATCACGCCCATTATAGATAATATCTTCAACACCTCCAGCCCACCTGCCAAACCGGATGTCGAAGTAAGCTAGCGCTGCAGTGTTCGTCAACATCGTTTCTTCATCCCCATGAAACCGTCTCGCCAGCGGGACCAACTGCTGCCCCTCTGTCCCAGCCCGCGGCCGAACAACTCTCGGAGAGTCGTCAATGCGACTCGCAATCCCAAAGAAAACTGCAGCTCACGTGGTGCAACTGAATTTCCAAGTCTGTGACAACAGCCTTCTAGTCGGACTTTAAGTCATTCGCGCGTGTGGCATCGGCAGGTGTCAGGCGCTGGGAACGCTTTCGATTCAACATACTGTAGTAGAGGTGGGTCTACTTGCTGCCGCTGGTGTATGTAACGTGTTTGCGCAGTGGCTTGCCGAAACATATGTTTGCAATGAGCAACCATCCTAAGCAACCAAGTCTCGCAATCAAATGTCTCTCGAGTTCTTAACCCCAAATCCTTAGCGACCAAAGCTCGACGCCCGGCTACACTGTCGATAGCCCTTCGTCAGCGCCTAAGCTTGGAGCCATATCGCCACCCATGAGCGCAGAATAAAAAGCATGCGAAATAATCCGGCATGAAGCCACCGCACGGTACACGAGAGCAAGAGTGAGCATTCGCAACAACAACAACAAAAAGGCCAAGTACTAAAAAAAAATGCTACTCCAATCCTCGAGCACACTGATACAAACTTGAGCAGAAATGGCGACGGTCTCCTCCTCATGCTTCTCCTGCTCCTAGTCGTCCTCCTCCTCCTGTTCTTCCCTTTCCTCCAACCATTTCCTTCCCCCCATGTCCGTGGAGAACCCAAAGGCCCGCGGAGACACCTGAACCTCAGCATGCTTGACCTTCCGTGCGCGCGCGGGCAATACGACATCGGGCCTCGATCATCGCGGGGGGCTCAAGGGTGGGCCGACGGCGGCTGCCGCGGCGGAGCCCCGGAGCCTTCGCCGCCTTCGCCTCCTGAACAGCGGCCTCCTTTTCCTGAACAGCGGCGTCCTTCGCCGCCTTCGCCTCCTTCAGCTCCCTCGCGAGGTGTTCCTCTCGGCCCCCCTTCGTCCCATTGCCGCTCCACCGTCGTTCCTCCAACCTCTGTCCTGAATCATTTGTCCTCTGTCCTCTGTTCTTCCTCCTCTTCCTCCTCCTCCTCCTCCTCCTCGTCCTCCTCTCGTCCGCCTCCTCGCTTCCTCTAAGTTTTTCTCCTCCTCCCCCTCCCTCCCCCTCGGCATTATTTCCCGTCCTCGTCCTCGTCCATCCCTCCTCCTGTCGATCCTCTGCCATCATCTCTCATATTCCTCCACCTCCTCCCTCCCTCCTCGTCGTGTTCTTTCTCTCCCTCGCTCTCTCTCTGTCTCTCTCTCTCTCTCGAGTGTGTGTGTGTGTGGTTATGCACCTGTTTGTCCATACATATATATATATAAATAAATAAATACATCATATACATATGTATATGTATGTAAACATATGTATATATATAGTCGTGTATATCCGCATGTGTAGATATGAGTGTATATCCAGACGTGGCGTCTTAAGAACTGCGTACCATTTGTTGTTTAGCGTGTCGCGGCGGCGGCCCCACCGACACGCTATGCCCTGCAAGCGGATAGCGTATCCTTCAACTCTGGGGGGCGGCGGGCTCGGATCTGACCGTTGATGCTCGGGGGCAGGGCAATGGATAGCGCGTCGCGCCCTTGCCGAAGCGCGATAGGCCAGAACTAGCGGAGCCACACGCTGAGCCAAAGATCCCGACTGGGTAGCAATAGGTGTGTAGTGTATACATATGCACATATGTATACATGGATGTGTGTGTTGTTGATGGTGGTGTTGGTGGTGCTGTTCCTGTTGGTATTGTGTTTGTTGATGGTGGTGTTGTGGTTGTTTATGTAGCTGCGGCTGTTTCTGCTTATGTGGCTGTAGCTGGTGACGTCGGTGTTGTTGTTGGTGTTGTTGTCGTTGTTATGATGGTTGTTGCTATGATTGGTGTTGGTATCGTTGTTGTTGTTGCTGTTGTTGTTGTTGTTGTTATTGTTGTTGTTGTTGTTGTTGTTAGTGTTAGTGTTAGTGTTGGTGGTGTCATTGTTGTTGTTGTTGGTGTTGCTGTTGTTATTCTTATTGTTATTGTTGTTGTTCTGACCGTCGCCGCACTAATGCAAGGTCCTGAAAGGACCCTCTTCGGGATCTGTTGAAACCGTTTTCGCGCCGTCATGGGGGCTGTTCTGGAGCGATCTGGGGGCCCTGTTGGGCCGTCTTGGGGCCCTCTTGGGCCGCCTGCAGCCCCTCCTGGGAGCTCGCGTAGAGCGTCTTGGGGCAGTCGTGGGCCCTCTCTGGGCCGTCCTGGGCTCGTCTTGGGGCCCTCTTGGGCGCCTCGCGCGAGTTTCTGGAGCGCGGGCCGCCGGCTTCCTTACGGAAGGCGCTCCTGGAGTTCGACAAGAGAGCGGAGACGTCCAGGGATGAGGCCGAGCAGCTCGCCGCAGAGCTTGGGTTCATGCTGCCTCCCGCCTGAGCGCGGCTGCGACCCGCTCGAAGCCCGCGGGGTTGTCCCCAACGGCGTGGCCTGCGGGGCTGTCCCGACCGCTTGCCCCCGCGCCCCAGCGGCCCGCGGGGTTGTCCCAAAGGCTCTGCGAACCAGCCGTCGGGGAATGCGCGCGCTCTGGCCACGGCGGCGACGGCGCCGAGGAACATCGATTTGCTTGCCCCGACCAGGGGGAAGGGGAGGAGCGCGCGGAGAAGAAGCAGGGGAAGGACGAGGACGGGGAAGGGGTAGGGAGGGGGTGATGATGAGGAGGAAGTGGAGAAGGAGGAGGAGGAGGAGGAGAAATAGAAGGAGGGGGAGTAGGTGAGGGCAAAACGGCGGGCGAGAGGAGAGTGTCCGTCAGGGCGAGGAGGAAAAGGGTAAGGGCAATCTAAACATATTCTCATGTGGGGTCTTTCCGTCGGCGTTTTTTTGTTCCTGACAACGTATTGCCTCCAAAAGAGCCCTCACGAGCTCAGGCGCCGTGCCTTATCTGGCAACGTAATGCCTCCAAAAAGTGTCCTCACAGGCTCAGGCGCCGCGCCTTACCTGGCAACGCAATGCCTCCAAAAAGTGTCCACACGAGAGGCTCTTGGTAGTTTTCGGCCCCTGCGGCTGCAGGGGGTCGCGGGGGACGGAGGCCACGTCCAGACGCGCGAGCACGTGCTGGGGGGGACCCCTGTTGGCACGCACTCCAGCGAAGCCAATTTGAAGGGGGCCTGGGACACACAAATAAATATACAAAAAACAATATTCCCTATATTTACACATTTTCTGGGCTTCTGTTTTCCCCCCACACTGCCCGTATTTTCCTGTATTTTCTGGGGAATCGACGGTTAATTGTGTCTGTGTGTTCCCCCTCCTGAGCGTGGCAGAGCTCGGGTGCCTCTGTGGTGTTCTATCTTTTTGATGGGCGTGCTTGGGTGCAGTTTACCGGGGGTAGGTGGCAGGTGCACCTTTCGCGCACCTTCGGTGCCCCAGGGTGGCACCTTTGCAGCCCTCTCAGGACCGCTCTCCTGCAACTCTCGACCCCCCCAGCGGTCGGGAACTTTGGGATAGCGTGTCGCAACGGCGGCCCCGACGACACGCTGCCTTGCGAGCGGCTTAGCGCGTCGCTCCGCTCAGCGGGGCGGGGGGCTCGGGCAAGCTCGCGGCTTTGACGCCTCGGGACCGCGACGTGGACAAGGCGCCGCGCCGAAGCGTGGTGGGCCAGAACCGGCGGAGCGACACGCCGTCCTCAAGCTCCCGCCCGCACTTATCAGAGGGCAAGAACCTCCACCCTCATAAGAAACACCCCGACCTGCGAAAAACTGCTTAGGAGACGCAGCCAGAGAAGGAATCGAACAGGGCAGGGCTGTTCAGCGACCGCCCAGGGCTCGGGTCCGGGTGGTGCGTCCTCCCTTGCAGTCGGACTTGATTGGACAGGACACGCGAGAGGACACAAGACCCTTCCGAGCGCCACATTGCCATAGGGATGTAGGAGGCATATAGGTCGCGAGACACAGGACACAAGGGTACCCTTGATTTGGCATGACCGACCTACTAACCAGCGCCGACTGTACACTGTCGCCCACCCCTGGCTGGACAACCCGAGGTTGAGACCCCAGGGGCCAAGGCCCGAGGCGGAGGCGCAAGCGGACCAGAGGCGGGGTAGGGCGGCGCGCCGCTGCGGCGCAGGCTGCCGGCCGCTCCGGGACGGGATCCCTCGAGGCGAAGGCGTGCCCCGGGAAGGGCGGGCGGTCCGCGCGGGGGGGGGGGGGGACCGCGGCGCCCCCCACCCCAGAGAGAGCATAACAGACGACGCCCATTCGATGTTTTTCGAGGCTCAAGAGATACGTCAGAGCCTTCTGTGCGAGGCGGGAATTTATCCATATCCACCGCCTGGGAACCGACTTCCTGGTGCCCCAGCGGGCGGTGGATATGGATATATTTTGGCCCCCGGGGCCCGAAAATGTCCATATCCACCACCTGCCGAGGTCCCCGAAAACTGATCCTCCAGGCGGTGGTCATGTATAAATTCCCGCCTCGGATCCTGGGATCCAGGAGCCGCCTAGCGACTCATACTTCGAACGAGCGGCCTGTGCCCCTCCCACGGCAGCCTGAGCTCCTTCCTGTCCACTGTGCGACACCTCCTCCGCATCCCCTCCCTCGAGAGGACGACTTCCTCCTCCCTCGCTATCTCCTCCTCCCAGCGACGCTGCGCTCCCCCCTCCTCCTCCGCACTCCCCCCCTCGTCCTCGTCCTCTTCCTCCACCTCCTCCTCATCCTCCCCTCCCCCGTCCACGTGCGGCGATGGGCGGTGACGAGGCGGCGACGGCGGCCACACGGCGGCCAGAGCTGCCCGCAGGCCGCGTTTCTTAGAAAAGAACGCAAAGGCCCTTGCACTGCTTGGGGAATGACGGTGAGGAGCGCGCGGACTTCTCGGATCGGCACTTGGCCCCCATCAATTGCGCGAGGGCGGAGTGCGCGAGGGGCGGCGACGGAGGCTCCTCTGGAAGGGGCCCAGCGCCGACCCAAGAGATACGCGCGGACCTCTCACACTGCATGTTCGTGCAACCTGCTGTTCTTCGACTGTCCGGAGACCGCCTAATCTTCGACTCGGCACTTCGAAAATCTGCAGCTCGATTTCGGCCTCTCAATCTTCTTGAGACTATTTTTAGGGGAATCGGCGAGGAGGGGGGGGGACGAGGAGGGGGCCGGCTGATAACCTAACCCTCGCGCTGTGGGCAGCCCTGCATATGCACGCGCCCCCCCTCCCGTGGACCTGCCCAACCGGCAAAGTTAGGCTATCCTGGGGAGGGGGGGGGGAGGGGGGGCAAGCCCGATAACCCGGGTCATCGCCCGACCCTAAAAAAACAGCCTCCGTCTTCTTCGATTATGCGATCTGCCCCTCGTCGTCGTCTCCGACTCTCAGATTCGATCCGATCTACGAGTTTCGTCTTCGATCCTGCGCCCCGCCCCGGCGCTCCTTCTCGGCAAAGAGGCGCTCCTTCTCGGCACGGAGGATGCGGATCTCGCTCTCGCGGCGGGCCTTGGTGCGAGACGCACAGAAGAGGAGAATGAGGGAGACCATGAGCCAACCAAACAGGAAGGGGGGGATGACCCGGGCTTGCTCCCAGGAGCGCTCGCGTCGTGGGAAACGGCAAGCCATGTTTGACAACTTTAGGCCTCCAGGGGCCCTCGCCGGGCCCCAGGACCGGCAAGAAACGATGCAGGATGAGAAACTGGCCACGGGAATTCGGTCGAGACCTCTGAGGGTCCATGCTGTGGGGGAAGCACATCGTCGGGGTCCGAGCTGAGTGGGTCTCGCCTACGCACACAAACATTGACAACAGGACCGTGATAATCCAACCCTGGTTTGTTTGGCTTGGGGGAGCCCCATTAACCAGCCTCGAACGTGTCCCTATCCCTAAGATGGGCGAGCAAAAAGCGAGGACAATCATTGGGATAGGCCCTCAGAAACTGAGGGAATCCTTAAGATCGGCATCGAGGTGAGGTGATGTCAAACATAGGGGTAGGGAGATGTTTCAAACTGGTAACCCATGCCCCAAACGCCCAGAACGGAGGGAGCATGTGGGCCAAATCTGGGATCTCTGATGGGGGCGGGCCGGATGCCTCCGACGTTTCCGCTGTCGGGGCCGCCCTCGCTTTGCTTCCGCTGGCTCCCGCCGACGGCGACATCCCGTATGCTTCCACGGAGGAAGGGATGCGAAGCTCTCGATGGCTCGAAAATAAAATCCTTTCTGGAACGCCTTGCTGCGAACCGGCATCCGTCCCAGATATGATTAGACCTTCCCGGGCGAGCACCCTCCCATTTCCAGGTGAACAGTTGCACAACACCTAGCTTCCCATCTCCTGGAGGTGTAAAGTTCGAGCGACTGCTCTGTCAAGCCCTAATGCGGCTTGGCCGCACCATCCGCTTGGGATGCTGCGTCCCACCCGCCTGTCCACAGGAGGATGAGGGACATCGTGCGTAAGGAATTCACTTGAATTCGCGGCAGACGCACTGTGGTATATCGTGCACGAGGAATAGAACGGTGATCGTGAAGAGGACGAGAAGGATGAACAGGACGCAGAGCGTAGAACCTGGGAGAAGGAGGATGAAGATGACGGGTGGGACGAGGAGAAAAAGAATGAGCAACCGAACTAATGACCTCTGAAAACGTTCCCACCCCATCCGGCGAATCTATATCGCCTCTCGCCCCCCTGGAAGTGGCATCCTGCCGCCTGACCCCTCAGTCCGGGACCACGCGGGCTAAATTGCGCAGCGTCGATAAGAACCCAAGCAGGATTCCAAAAGTGTGGCAACTATCATTCCAAAAATGGGAGATCTCAAATAGGAAATTCAGTAGAGGGCTCGCCGAGGTTACGTCGTCCCTGGGGATTTGGTCATTTCTGCCCTGCCGTGAACCGCCCGCTCTTTCAAGGAGATCGCCGGGGCGCTTGTACATTCATATTCCCCGGAACAAGAGATCTCCGCCGACAAAGAATACCCGGTAATTCTGCCGTGCCTTTCATCACCATGTTCGACCTTTATTAAACGACGCAGATCTTGTTTCCCAAATTCCTCATGCTCGTAACACTTTGTTCGTTCGTTCGTAACGCAACACTGTGTATTTTCAAGTGGGTTGACGATCTGTACACTATGGTATGTGTATATTCGGAAGCATTGCGAACATATGCGCACAGCAGCTGGATTGATGTGGGTATTCGCGTATCTTTGCACGCTAACCACATAGTGAACATCCAACCTCACAACAATAATGCTTTTGATAGGTGTCTTCGATTGGATAGGCCTTGGTTCCAACATTGGTATCCAAATCGTGGAATAATATTAAGCCCCCGCTATAGACATTCAACTTATCATTAAGTTGACCACCTGATTGATACTGATTGGGGTGACCAACATCTAGTAAGCTTGGTTTTGGAATTCTGGTGTGTGATTTTCATTATCTGCGTGCTCTCGTGCATGACGTCGCGTCGTCTCCAAACAGCCTTACATCTATGATCTGGGTACTGTGATGCCCGCCGTCTCGGAGCGCGGCCATCAATTGTGCAACTATCGCAGACCCAACGGGTGATGGCATGATCGGCCGCGAGGTCGATCACCTCCCGCTGCACCTCCCGCTGCATGTCCGTCATCATTTCTGCTCAGGCACAGCTGGGAGGAAGGGCCCAGTCATCAGAGTGAGGGGGCCGAACGGTCATTCATTGTCCCTGGGTGCATGGCTGAAAAGGGGATCTGTGGTGAGGATTATGCTTGTGGCGTTGTTTTGTGGTTGTTGTTGCTGTCGTTGTTGTCGTTGTTTATTGTCGTCGGCCCCCCTGCGACCCGCCCTCGACCCACCCGCAATCCACCCCGCGACCCACCCCGCGACACAGCCCGCGACCCGCCCCGCGACCCACACCGCGACCTCCCCATGACCCAGCCCGCGACCCACCCCGTGACCCGCCCGCGACCCACCCGCGACCCAACCCGCGACCCAGACCGTGACCCACCCGCGACCCAACCGGCGACCCACCCCGCGACACAACCCGCGACCCACCCGCGACCCAGCCCGCGACCCACCCGCGACCCACCCCGCGACCCACCCGCGACCACTCCCGCGACCCATACGCGACCCATCCCGCGACCCACCCCGCGGTCCACACCCATTGCTTTGACGAAAAAGTCGGCGCCTGCGGCGGACTCACTGCATAATTTGTGCAAGTTAGGCGCTTGCGGCGGGCCTCTTCAGAGCCTCGCAGACTGACGACGTCCTCGCCCGCCATCTTATGCGCAACTGCGGGGTGTACGTTCGAAAAAGTACTTCCGGATTCTTGATTGCTTCTCTGGGTTACGTTGATGGCGGCGAAGAGGTGGGAGAGAGATGAGGAGCGTCAACGGGAAAAAAACAAGAGGTACAGATACCGCTCCTCCCCGGACCTCTCTCAGGTGCTTTCTGACCAGAATTTTGAAGCGAATCCAGCCGTGGCGACGAAGGCCGCCCAAGAGTCCCAAAGAGGAGAGAAGGAGGGAAGGGCAGCGGTATCGGTACCTGTCGTATCGGTACGAACCTTTCCTCCTCTGAATCAGGCGGCGCGACGCTGGGTTCCACACTCGCTCAGCGAGCACCTCGTGCCTGCGAAGTCCGCGGAGAATAGCATTTGCAAGCGCTTCGATGCAACTACGAGAAGCGCCAGACTGCAAGCGGCGATGGTGCATCATAGTTCGGGCCAGCCTGTCCAAACGCAGCGATCACACCTTTGAACGAGTCACTTCTGAGAGAAAGACACACGAATGATAGCACGACAGGGCCGACAAGACATAGAGAGAGAGGGATAGAGAGAGAGAGCGAGAGCAATAGAGAGAGAGAGAGAGGCAAATGGTGGAGTCAAATAATGGGGCTGTGACGCATAGGTACAGATATTGAACGAAAAAGGACACCGATAATACCAACAAGACACTGGTCTCTACCTCTCTCTCTCTCTCTTTTTCTATCCCTCTCTCGTTCTCTCCCGGAAGCTAGCTGCCACCAAGAGATTTACCGCTTGCCAGAAGGGAGGACATGATAACCAACCTTACGCGAGGCAAACGAAGCCCTTTAGCAAGGCCTCCTCAGAAAGGGAGCATCTGGGACAGGCCTGTGTAGTTTACTCGCAAGACTGCAGGACTGTTCGGAAAAATATGGCAGAGGGTCGGGGTGGTTCGTCCTCCATTGACGCATCGTGCGCTGCGAGCCTACCGACAGTGGCCTGAATGTGTCCAAGCACTGGGATTGCACAACACGCCATCTTCCCTGTCCACCCTAATGAAATCTCCCCGCACCAATTACATTCCACATGCCCGAGGTCTTTCGAACAAGCTGTGGCAAGATTCTGCGCCCAAGACCGCCTCTGAATGCAAAGCATGGCAACAACCTAGCACTACTCATGGATGAAGTAGGGTGGGGACAAGAAACATCAAAGCGCTCTCCTTGGCACCATGGCCGTAGCGCAGCGGCGCTTCTTGCTGTGGCGCACGAGGCAACAACATGTCCTTGGAGTCCGGTAAAAGTGCTACGCCTTCGCTGTGTGTTCGTGTGGGAATGTATGTATGCGTGCATGCATCCATGCATGCATGTAAGTGTTTACGTATGTACGATTGCATGAATTAATGCATGTGTATGTATGTATGTATGTATGTATGTATGTATGTATGTATGTATGTATGTATGTATGTAGGTGTTTGTGTGTGTGGGCGCGCGTGTTCTGTCTTACCCAGGTCGATGTTTCCTTGATTCGCACTGGCGATGCACCCTAGCAGCAGCCCGCCCTCCGTGCAAGAAACTACGTTTTCTTGTTGCAAGAAGGCTTGACTGATCGTCCAGAGTGTCCGCAGCTCTTCTGAGCACAAGGCCTGGTGGCCAGGCCGTGGTTGGAGGAGGAAGAGAAAAGAGGCGAGGGGAGCAACATGACCAGAGTGGCCACCTGCTGTTCGTGGCTCGACGCCTCATCTGAGGCTCCTCGTGGAGGGCCTAGTTTCCCAAAGATAGCCATGCTACGCTGCGGTGCGCTATATATCTCACGCTATCTTGCGCAACGCTACGCTCTCTTGTCCCTTCGGCTTCTTCAATACCCTTGCAGTTTGAACGGCAGGCTTAACATGTGACAGCCCTGCTCCCTGGAGTCCGCGAGAAACAATGTGCTACCATATTCTGCTGCGGGACTCTTGACAGCAGCCTCCTGCACGGCCCCGTGTCTCCGCAGAAGGTCAAAACCAGTCTCGGCTCCCGGAAGCAGCTGGGAAACCGATGGGTCGAGCCGCAGACATTTGATCGCCTACTTTCGAACCCTTCGTCTGCATTCCTCGTGGAGCACAAGATGGTTTGTCGCGATTCCATGGTGGCCTGTGGTACGCACACGATGTGCACCGATCTTGGTGCGCAGGATTGGGCACATGGTGCGCGATCGGGCTGTTCAGATGTTCCGCTTCCGCTGGCATCCAACATTGCTGGGCTGCATGTGTTCCAACGGCTTTCACGTGCCGGTAAGCAACCAGGCGGCTATGCTGTACGATTTGCAAGTCCTGTGCGCGAGAAGCCAAGCTGAAGCAAGCACCAGTACGTAAGCTTGGTATGCGCGCGGCTCTGGCGTGGTGCTAGGTTCTATTAGCGTGCAGTGCATCCCATAGCTCTCCAGTCATCCTCTAGACCACGATGTGGGTCTCAACCAGTTGATCATTGAAAGGATTCAAGGTCCTACAGTGCAATTTGCAAGGCACTTCATGGGGATGGCAAACTCTAGTTGTCATGTCACGCAACCTTGTGGTCAGGGACCATGTGGGCACGACTGTGCGCGAAATATACCATTGGCGACAACGGCCAATAGACCGTGGTAAGGTCACACCTGTGCTGGAGCGCTGGGAGGGGCATTAAAAGCGAGGGACCCCGTGAACAGGACAGTGCGACCAAGACACGATCGCGACATAGGACAGACCCCTGTGGTCAGACCATTCTAGCATGTGGTCACGACCCTGCAAGCGGGACTGCAAGCCCAAGACCCCATCGGCGACAACCACATTCCGTGATCGTGCCGCAGGGCCCCATTCGAGGGATCATGTGAACGGGACCGTTCGCCCAAGATCTCATCGGCGACAACGGCCAAACACCCGCCGAGGAGTCCAAATCGTTCCAACGACAAAGAGACTCCCTTCAACTCATATGATCGGGACCCTTTTGGCGCGACGCTATGGGCGGGGCTGCATGCCCTGGACACGATGGGCGACAACAACCGATTCCGCCCCCCCCCCTTCGTCGGACAAAAACACATGCCAACTCCAACAACAAGAAGGGAACCTTCCGTGTAGGAACTGATTCGAGAATATTGCTAACTTCAGAAAATTCGATGGGATTGCGCTCACCATCTCCCGCGGAGAGATACCAGTCCAGCAAAACATTCCGCAGATGGTCCACGAAACTGTTCCGAGAGCGTGTGACACGACGATCGCGAGAAAGGCCATATCAAACGGCTTGTTGGCGGCCGCTCAGTTTGAGGCTCAGGTACTTCCTCCGATGGTAGAGGCGCGATCGTGCATCAGTCCACAGCAACGCAAGCGTCTCGAATGGATCAGGTACACCGAACGTAATGGCAGCGGTTCGACAACTAAGCATAATGTCTATTGTCGTCGTTGCGCATACGGACACGTTCGCCCGAGTGCACTTAATGCAACGCGTGTTGCGCATTATACGTGACAACAAACGTCGAACTTGTGTTGTCATTATGTGGCCTGATTGCCCAAGAGTGACACTGTACGTCACCACTGTGGTAGACTACTATGGCGCCGAGCACCATTCTACACTGTAGCCCAGTGCAACTTCACGACGCGCGCGAAGTCATGAAGGCGGCGATCTTGCCAATGATACGTTCAAACTGGATAGGCATAAGAACTGCATGGCGAAACTTCTGGACAGCCTTGAAGACGCCAAGACTCATGCTTTCCCTACGGCGACCCTCAAAAATCTGGTCCGGGGCCTTTCCGTGGATGCATCCTGGCCAAAACTTTTACTCTGAGTACCTCAATAGTTCGGGGGTGCGCAATAGTCTGGGGGCGGCCCCTGTAGTCCGGGGGGGGGCCCTTGTAGTCCGTGGGTGGGTTCCTGTAGTCCGGGGGGGGGTTCTTGTAGTCCAGGGGGCGGGGCCCTTGTAGTCCGGGGGGGGGCCCTTGCAATAACATCTGCGCGGGGCACCGCTTTGTTGGGGGGTTGCGCGCCTGGCCGCGCCGACCCCAGCCGATGAGCACTGGCAGAGGGAGGAGGAAGGGGGAAGGAAACGCGCAGGATGATAACATTGTGGTGAGGCCTTACGCACGTCGTTCAGTCCGTGGCACTCGTGCTTGACGTGGTGGCTGTGGTCTGGGGGGGATCATTGTAGTCTGGGGGAGGGTGCCTGTAGTCCAGAAGGACCCCTGTAGTCCGGGGGGGGTCATTGTAGTCCGGGGGGGGGGGGCCCTTGTAGTCCTGGGGGGAGGCCCTTGTAGTCCGGGGGGAGGGCCCTTGTAGTTAGTCCGGGGGGCCCTTGTAGTCTAGGGCCCAGAACTATTGAGGTACTCAGAGAAGGGAACGCGCCCGGGGCGACGAGGACGACCCAGGAGGCGCAACAGAAGCGGGAGGATACCCCTCACGCCGCTCGAATCTCGAACGTCGAACCTCGACCCGTGCTATGGTGACACTCGCACGCACTGTGGCGCGAAGCAAGCTCGTCCTGCGGGAAGCGGTCCTGGCCACCAGGGCCCTCCCTTCCAGGACCAGCGGTTCGTCCCGAGTCGTTCTCGGGCCATCCCGTTGGCCCGCCGAGGGCCCACGGAGGCCAAACACGGCGAAAAACCTGAGGACCCGTTTCCCTCGAAACCCGTGTTCTTCTTCACGGCGAACGCAGCCAACACTTGTTTCCTGTACAGTCGAGGTACTATCAGAAGGAACGCGAAATAAGAAACGAAGCCCCTTCATGGCCCCAGAAGCGCCTAGGTGCACGAGGAGTGATGGAGGAGGAGCCATGGAAGAGCTTAGGGAACAGCGAGCCCCTTCCGCACCCGAGGCGTTCCTTATTTCAGCGTCTTGGCTGTAGATTAGGACAAGCTTGCTTGCAGGAAGTTGGGGGGGGGGGCAGGCGAGACCCCCCAGGAAAGGCTGGAGATCGTGCACGCCCAAGGTCGCTGGCACGCATCTCCGGCCCAGCAGCGAGCGAAAAAACGGCGAGGAAAGGCAGAACGCAATCCGAGTAAAGTTCATCCAGCAAGATTACCAAAATCTGACTTTGAGAAACAACCCCTGAGACAAGTCCCCAGGCATACGATGGCGTGTGTTGTCAAATAGGGTCCCCACAGAAACCGACCCTTTCACCAAGGCCTTTTTTTTCCATCCCAGGCCGCTTCTTGACGGTCAGGGCCGAAACCGGCAAAAAAACAACCCATCGTATTCTTTTCCACGACGCCGTCATGCCCGGGACAGCTGTGCCTTCTGGGAAACCACAAGATACCGATACCGCTACGTACTCCCGGGACCACACCCGGGGTGCGTTTTGACCAGACCTTGGAGGCGAACCCAACGGTGGCAACAAGGGCCTCCTGGGAGCCACCCCCCCAGAAAAAGAAATACTGGCGTAGCGACTTTGGGTTAGAAAACTTGAAGCTGGCCAGCTTTGGTTACAGCATGGTGTAAGTTGATACATAGCTAAGGTCATCTGAAGAACTAACATGCAACTACCCAACTTGATGTTAGCATAGATGGTTGCATTGTTTACCACTTGTAATTGCAGCTGCCCAAGTTACCCAGGGATGTGACTATCGTAACTGCGAGTTGTAAGTTGCAGGCCAAAGAACTTATCAAAGTTACAAATAACTTGTAAACTACTTGCAACTGTCTGAAATAAGTTAAATTTGGGCTCCTTTGCAACCCTCGAATTGTACATATCGCACATTATCATTCCCCTCTCCCCCCTCCTCCCCCGCGTACCCCCATCCCCCCGACGCCGCGTGGCTGCTGAGGCTTCGGATCGCAGACCGAAGAAAGAGGCGGATTGCGAGGAGGATGAGCGATTCAATCGCTGCAGGATCGCAGACCGAAGAAAGATGCGGAGTGGAGGAGGATGAGCGATTCAATCGCTAATGTTTTTTTGATGAGCGATTCAATCGCTGTCCTGGCAGATGTTGTTTTCCGCTCAGTGCAAAGCAAGAATGTCGCCAGAGGCGAGCTCCGACCAAGCGTGGCACATCTCAACCGATTCGCCGCTCCACCACGCAAGAAGCAATTCGCCGTCCTTCCGCAGGACTGACGCGTTCGGCGTCCGCTTCTCGATCACGACGCACTCGTGCCCAAGAATGAATAGATCGCCCCCCCGTTGGCCCAGAGCTGCGACGCATAGAAAATTGTTCTGCATGCGCACCACGTCGCCTGCCCAAACAAGCAAGCCTTTGAAAGCAGCGCTGGATGAAAGGACGACGTCGCCGCCGACTGCTTCAGCCAGCAGGGGCGACAACTCCGCATCGCCCCCCCTGAGCCC